CGATCAAAAACCTCGTGCACCCCGGTGAGGCGGCGAATTCGATTTAAGGAAACCGTGTGAACACGGGCCTTCGGTTTGATTGATTTACTTTTATTCACCTCTAATTTATCCAACAGGTCCAAATAATATTATTAATAAATTAATTAATGTGATTTATTATTGTTAAAATTGTATTGGTCCATTGAGAAATGACAGTTTTTTTTTATAGCTATCCACTTTGAAGGAAAGTGAATGGTTTTTCATGACCCTCTTTCTGCCTATAAATGTGAATAAAGCTCATCAATTATATAATTCAATAACAGTGAGGAAAAGAGAGAACATTTTCTGGATTTTATTAGTTCCTATTTCGTAGGTTTAAATCTTTTAACTATTTCTATAGATCAATGTATGTTTCTTGATCAATTAATCTATATGTGAAATTCATGAATCCTAAAGATCTTGGTATTAAGGTTATATAATTGCTTACATGTGGTATCAGAACCAAGTTAGGGAATTCTCGATTTTCCTTTAAAGATTAATGTTTTTCATTTATAGATCCTCAATTGTTTTTATCAATTTGTGAGTAAATGTTTAAAATTAGAATACAATTAAGGTTTCATGTTTTCAGTGCTGTTTTTAATTATGCTTACTGAATTTGAGAGTAATGAGTAATCTAAGCAAGAAAATCATAGTTTAAATAACTATCTGGTGTGGTCAAGATTACAGAATCGCCATGACTTTGTTTTGGCCCTTGTAGTTGTCGCATAATTGCCTATTTTGAGAATTTTATTAAGTTGTTAATGAATTCTCATTTGTCACCTTCAGTTGATGATGGTGTGTCCATCAAAATTCGTGTATAGTTTCGGGTCCTATTTATCCACATTTGAACGTCTTCTGTTTGATGAAATCGTGAATGAGTAGGACATGAACTATAGAATTGACTTGATCCATTTAAAGAAATGGGACCCATATGAAACTGACAAGGACTAAATTTTCCGCTGGTGACTCGTATTAAGGTTAAGGCCTGAAGAAATATGTTCAATTTGCATTATGAATTTAGATTATGTCTAATTTAATAACTTAATTTTCGTGTTTCGTTTATTTATGGTTGATAATGAATAAACATTATGTGGTAATTAATTTACACTTAAATTGGGATGTAAAATGCTTCATTCAAAAGTTTTGATGAATCAT